TCCCTAATCTGTGGAGATAAACTTCCTACCTCTACCTCAGTGGATAACTTCATATAAAAAGCTTTGTAGGACTGACCCAATATTCTAGTAGGCCCAGAACAATGAAAGAAGCCAACATATGTACTTTAGTTTCTATGTTTCACATAACTGCATCTATAGAATAAAGTGATCAGGAAAACGTATAAAAGCACCGGCAACTTTTATTGGTAGTAGTGTGGCCAATTCCTGAAAATATAAAATCCAAATTCAAAATTATTATAATGTTGGTGGAATGCAGAAAAGCAGTCAGCATAACTACCTAAGAGAATACAAACACGCACATGACAATAATACCAGGTTACGTTCCTACAAGAGGGAAAAAGAATATCTAGATGGTGCATGCATTTATTCAACAAATGCTGAATGCTTAATATTGTAGGCAGAGTTGGGTTAGGTTTGTAGACTCCGGAGCTAGTGTCTAAATTTGAATTCCAGTCTCATCACTTCCTAGTAGAATCACCCCTGGGCAAACCAATTATTAAGTCCCTATTGCTCAGTCTTTTCATCTATAAAAACGGGGATAATGATAGTATCCACTAAGTTACTAGAAGGATGCAATAAGGTCAAGTTTTGAAATTGGTGATAATCATTTCTGTATAGAAGACTGCTAACTAAAGTGATAACAGATAAACATGGAAAAAGTGATCCTGAGAGAAGTAATTCCCTGTTAGATATGAAGTATTATCATTAATGACCCCAACCAGACTCAAAGTATAACACATTAACAGAGTACACCTAAAACAACATGCTCTTCATTTCCCAGATTTCAAAGCAGGTGTTATTTTCCAGTCATGAATTTCCTTGAGAAATTTAGAGTCACAAAGATGAGGCGAGTTGGAAAATGAGGTAATACTTCTGTTGACTTTGGAAAGACCACATATCTCACACTGACCTTCAATTAGAGTAACTGTCCTAACAGTCTGATGATCCACGGCTCCCTATCTTCCCAGAAGACAGAACCAGAGAACACAAGCAAGCATATTGTGAAGGTCTTTTGGCTAGATGTCTGGAAATACTTCTATACCACCAGAATTACTAAGTATTAGAATAGATGGCTGAAGGGGGCTCAGGAGTCTACTTCTTTGGAGGTCTTTCAAACAAGGATATATCGAGTCTATCTGAGTTGCCTGAGATGGTTTAAAATCAGGGCTGAGTGAAGATTAATGGTGCAAACTGCCCCTTGTAGGCCCCCTCCTTCCCAAGCACTCTCTGTGAATATAAGTTTATATATTACCTATCACCGTCCCTCATCTGTTGGATTTGAAGAACTCTTCTCTGTCATGAATAGAAAAGGGCAACACTATTTTACAATTGTGACTTCTGAGTGAAACTTTAATAATGTCACGATGAAACATAACATGCTTATGACTTTCCAGTTATTTTACTAAGCAAGCTACCTGCAAATGTCTTTCAATTAGGAACTGTTCTCAGGAGTCTGAAGTCTGAACAGCCGTTCTTTTAAATTCATATCTCCCGGCAGACTAATGTCATATGCCATTTCTCGTGCAAACCATGAGGTGTCCAAACAAGGTGAAGGATGGAAAAGAGTTTAAAGAAAAGAGAACCATGACTGAAACCCTTCCCCCAACTAGATAATTAAATGTAAATGTTATTAAGAAATAGGGAGTAAAAAGAGCATTAATTTAATAACCGGACATATTTCCTAAGAGATTATTCCAACACCAATAAGTAGCATCAAGAAAAGTTTACTGGGGGGGGGGGGGATGCTTAAAAACACAGTTATCTTTTGATTCATTTATTTTCCTATCAAATGTGCCTCTGACCCCAGGGTGACCTGTGTCTTGATTATGTCCACCAGCATCAAAGAACATCAGGCTTAAGGCAAGTCAACAGCGTGCCCTGGGTCAGGGGAAAGTAAGCGAGTTTAACAAAAGTGCACACATTTCAGAAATTCATAGCTAATTAGCAAGCACTGTAATTGCAAAGGAGTGGGGAGGAGGCATAAAACAAACAAAACTTCTGTAGTTAAAAATCCACTGAAGGATTTATATTAACCACTGGGAATGTCCTGAACAAAGTAGACGGGGACTACAGAAATTATTTACACCGAAAATCTTCACTTTGATATTAACAAGATTTGCATCATGCTGAGAATGAACTCTCAGTCTCCTGAGAGTCCCATTATCCACTAAGGACTACTGAAGCAATTTAAAAATACTTAACTATTTTCTTCTGGGAGATATCTTATCTGAAATCATGCTGGGAAATATCTGTGTGCTTGAAAGATAGAGTTTGAAAAAAAAAACCCAGATTAGAGGAGAAAAAGTTCCTGGAACAAGTGATCCATACTACAAACCTTTTAAAAGTTGAATTCCCTGAGATTTGGGGAGGGAAAAAAGGCGAAGCTGATCCTTATCAATTAATTAAAAAGAATAAAATAACAGTAGACAAAGGGAAAGGAGAGTTAAGAAACTTAAGGAGCAGGGGGGAGTTTTTCCTCTATTCATTGATTAACAAATTAAGGAGGTCTGGAGAAGGAGGGAAAGGTGACAGGGATAGAAAAGTAATCTTATAATTCACCACAGGTTCCGCCTTCGACTCACCAGAGAGAACGACTGGCTCTGAATTGAAAAAAGGCTCCCTCTATATAATGCACCGCACTGCTTGCGTGATAGACGCTTTTTTTTTTTCTTTTTGGCAATGCCCAAATTTATGTATGTGTTCATTTCAGTGCAAGGGGAAGAAAAACCTCACTTTCACAGTTTAGAAATCACCCATGATAAGGCAGCAATTCTCCAACCTACTGTTACTGTGATGTTTTAGGATATCCGCAAAATGTTTTTTCATCCATCGACCGGTTCTTTGGCAAAAAGCACAGAGAGGCCGATGGAAACTGAGCGTTTCGCCCTGTCGATCTGAGGTCACCGAGGACTTCGGCTGCCGGGTTTGAGCAGCGCGCGCCCTCGCAGCATCTCCTGGCCTCCCTCGGCCTCTTTCAGTTCTGCTCTCGCAGCCAGAGGATTCTCTCTCCCCGACACGTTTCATTCACAGAGCCCCGGAGAAGCTCGGACTCGGTTGGAGCTAAGAGCCGGAAAACACGCATCCGGGCTGCTGCGCAAGTTGTTGGAAACCAAGTGCTACACACCCCCCAGCGCCGAGGAGGAGGGTGGGGGCTCTCAAGCTCTCGATAGAGGGCTGCGAGTGGCCCGGCACGCGGGGGACACTGGGTCCGCGGGGGACACCGGGTGCGCGGACTCAGCCGAATCCCCAGCTGAGCCACCGCGGAAGTTGACTCAGATTCCGAGAGCCGGCGGGCAGGCGAGGCCGCGCTCTGGACCCGGAGCCGCGCGGGGTGGCTGGGTGTCCCCCAAATCACTAAATGACCAACCGCAATCAGGGAAGCGCTAAGGAACCGTTAACAGGAGAGCTCGCCCCAAGTCTGGAACTGGCAGTCCGTGAACTCCCCACTCCCAGCTTTGAAAGGCCGACGTCTGGAAGGCCGGGTCCCCAGCGGGGGTCCCCACCGCTTTGCCCGCCCCCAGCCCGGGCGCAGTAAGTCGGGCCTCCCAGAAGGACCCTGAGAGTAGACAGAGGGGTTGAGGAGCCCACCGCGTCTCTCCACCGCCCCCGCAGGCGCGAGGGCGGGAGTGGAGAAGGCGCCACTCAGACTGTGGCGCTGGGCGAACTGCGGTCGCAGTTCTTCCAAGTTTGCCCGAGCGAGAGGCGCGGGGTGGGCGCTCCGCTCGGCGATGTGCCGGCGCCCCGCGGCCACCCCTGAGCGCCCCGAGATCCACTGCTTCCCCAGCCAGAGCCGACCTCGAAGGGGGCAGCTGGGCGCGGGAGCGGTGGGAGGGTGGGAGGAAAAGCGGGTGCTCCCGCGTGTGCACACAATGAGACAGCTGAGACGCACACTTCCCCCGCCCGAGAAGCCGCAGGAGCATCCGCCGCCCCGCTGAGACGCGGGTTCCCAGAGAGCCCTAGCAGAAAGTGAACAGCAACTCAGCAACAGGGGGAAGGAAGGCGCCGGGCGGCGGGGTACGTGCGGCCGCCGAGGGCTGCAGCTTGCCCCGGCCGCGCGCCCGCGCTTACCTGCGATCTCCTGGTAGGGGATGTCCGCCAGGCTGAATCCCTTGGCACCGTAAGCCTGACGGACCTCGCCGCAGCTCCGAGCCTTCACATCCGCCCCGGCAGGGAGGGACAGCAGCAGCCCCGAGAGGGGAAGAATCACAGCCCCGATCCAAGACGGCATGGTGCAACATGCAAATCCAGCTCGGTAAACCCCAGGGCCCGTGCGCTCTTCACCTTGCCCCTCGAGCCGAAAGCCCGCCAGAGCCACCGGCGCGCTCCTCGCCGCTGCCCAGCGTCACCCCCTTCCGCCAGCCGAGGGGACGAGCAGCGCAGCCCTCTGGACTGCGCTCAGCAAACTTTTATAAGCCAGATGGAGATGGAAAGCCAACCGAGGCTGGCTGGGAAAGCAGCCTCCTTGCTCCGCTAGTTCCTCAGATCGAAACGGTACAATAAAAACGAGAAAAAAAAGAAGGAAAAGAAATGTTTTAAAAAACCACCATGGGGGTTCAGAGCTGCGATCCGAGTTCCGAGCCGCAGAATCCTGGAGCGCAGCGAGCTCGGCTGGCCGGAGTGTGCAGCGAAGGTGGGAACGCGCGCCGGCGCTCCCGGGCGGGAGATGGACTGGCGAGCCCGAGTGTGTGCGCGCGCGTGTGTATGTTGGTGTGAGCGCGGGGTTCTTGGGGATGTGTGTGCGTGGAGGTATGTACGGGATCCAGGGGAAACCTCAGCTTCACACAGGCTGAGGGAGCCTGGGAGAGTCCTCCTGAAATAGGAAGAGAGAAATCCTGGAGACAGACCCTGGAGGCTAGAAGGAAGGAGAAAGGGGAGAGAGAGAAACGTGCTACACATTGCACAGCCGAAATTCGGAGGCAGAGTCAAAGGCAAAACCCGGACTGGATCCCTTTCTACGCGACAGACTGGGGAGAAAAGGAAACGTTCCTGTTTTCTCATTCACTTCACATCCTTCATACTGATCCGAAATGCTACGTATAATGACATAAATACGCAATCTAGGAACACAAATGTTTTTAAGTCATTAACTTTTGTCAGTAAACTGTATTTTTCTAGAGGTAAAGGAAAACAGTTTTTGCTCCTCTTGTATGGTCATGACCTATTGAAACACAAAACCAGGGCAGAAGAAATCAACATTTAGGGAGTCCTTGAAGTGCAGAGCGCAACTGCCACTCTAATTCATTGCCAATTTCTGTGGAGCTTTGCTTGTTCTTGTTTTCTGAAAGCTGGTATTTTGTACACACAGTACATTATTTTTCCATTTTTGTTCTAGACTCCACGATTTTCTCCTTTATCATTTCAAATACTCCGTAGTCTGGCATCTGAAATCATTAGGCTTAGTTTTCTTAGTGTGTGGTAGAACCTGAAAGCTAGGGAGAACCAGGACACAGAGGTGATGAAGGAACATAAAAAGAGGGGCAGAGGTGCCAGGACGAAGGTATTTGACAGGCAGCAATGTCTTTCTTTCCTCTTCACCAGATCCTCCCCCATACTAGACTTAACTTTCTTCCAAGCTGACAGTTCTCTAGCAGAGAATCAATTCACTTTCTCCTGTCTTCCCATTTACACTTCAGTTCTGTGAAATGGGGTAAAATGGAAAGCTCAGGTTTGGTTAATTGTCATCGACTTTGTTATGCAATAAACACTAACGTCAGGCTCCTCCTTTCCCCAGGATAACACTCCTTCACTTGAGTGGCTATGTTTATTATAAAGGTCAGCACGTTGTTCCGAAGCGATGGCGTGCTAATGCCCAGTTTTGTGGTGCTCATCTATAAAGTTCCTGATAAAGACGTTTTCCTGATGATGTTGTTGATGCCCAGAATGTCTTACAAAAGTGAAGTCATTCAATTTGTCATCATCACAGTCTTCGTCAACATCTTCATCAGAGCACACTGGATACAACCTTCATTTCTATAATAAATTTCTCCTCTCCTAGCCCACCAGAAAGACTAAATTTAATATCCAACCTCATTTAAGCTTTGGAAATGCTTTAAAAACAAGATTGTCTCATTTGCAGGGTGAATTTTTCTTTCTCAAACTCCACAGCTAAAAACAAACAACAAAAAAACTCCAGAGCTCAACATTTTTTTTTCCCTTGAAAACACAACTCATTTTGTTTCTCTTAAAATGTTAGCACAAGCATTGCCTCCATATTTGTGCTAACTGGCAGACCTTAAATCACTGAATTTGTTTGTCTCTAAGTCTGAAATCTAGCAAACAAAATATACTCTAGTCTCTTTGGGGACAAAAGATGAGGTTAGTAGGGCCAGGAATTGTTGTAACCAAGTCATTACTTATGTGATACTTCACAACATGGCTTTCTTCAAAGTTCTTTTTCTTTAGTCTGGTGATAAGAATGATGTATTTTAGAGGAAAGGGGTAAATACTCACATGCTCTATCTCATTACCTCAACTGGCTACTATGGTTTGAAGGTACGCCCTCCCTCCCCCAATTCATATATGGAGACTGGGTTGTGATAGAATTAAGAGCTTGAAAATTTGTTTTAGCTATGATGATAAAGGTGAGGCTTTTGAGAATTAGGATTAAGGTTATCAGTGTGGGGGCCTTCACTCTGGGGAGGATGGGGGAGTTGTAAGGAGAGGGAATTATACCAGAGCAGAAACTAATTGACATATACACATGGGCTCCCACTCCACTGTCTTGCCGTGTGATCAGCAGCAAGAAGACTCACTAGATGTTGTCCCTGGACCTTGGACCTTCCAACTCTAAACCCGTTCTTATGAATCACCCAGTTGAGTCTATTTTCTGTTATAGGCAGTAGAATGGAGTAGATTACTAGGATTTACTGAAATTTACCATGACTTTGCAGTAAATAGCAGGTAACTCAATGAAAACCACCTTTGAGGTAGAAGAAAAACAGGACTGTAGTATATGGGGGTTTAAATTACTTGAAGATCAATCCGTCAATTCATCGTTAATGAGCATCCACTGCAGCCCTTTAGCATTCGACTATTGTACACAGTTCCTACACTTCAGAAATGACTGTAGGATTTGTGGCAAGTCTAGTACCATAAGTAGAAAGAATTACTAAATTGAGCATAAATTAATCCCATCAGTAGGGTCAAACAGTTTAGGGTACATTTGTGAACTCTAATTTAACCAAAGAATTAGGTAACATGCTTTACCGCTGCTGAGTCCACTTGTTGGGTAATGTATCGCTGTTTGAGGTTATATAAGCGACAAACAGTTCAGTTAAGAGCAACTGCTGAAGCTTATACAAGATACTGAATGAGCATGGAATGTTATAGAAGTTCATTAAAAAGGTCTCAATGGAAGGAAGAGTGCTCATATTGAGAAGCTTGAGTTTACATAGAAAGGTTAGTGGAAAGACCTGAACCTCCACTAATATGTTTAAGTTGTATACAATAGGGAAAAAATTTTTTAAATTAAGAGACAGCATGATTTTTCTTAAAGTTTTTCTATACCGTTTTTCATGAGTAAGAGAGACAGAACGAGAGAATAGCAACCTCCACAGCATCTTGATGACATGATCCATCCTCAGCTTCAGCCAGCTCTGGTAGGCATGTGTGTGCCCAGTATATTCAGGAAGGTCTCAGAACATGAACCGAGAATCTTCCTTTTTGGGACTGTTTCATGGAGGGTCCCATTTGACTGCTGCACCACCATATGACCCCCAAGAATAAGCATGATTTGATGCTTGGTTCAATACGCCAGATGAAATACTAAAAATATATTTTAAGATTTATCACATTGGGAAAATATGGTATGTATTTTAAGACAACAAGACTACTCTATACAGTGCTTTCACATCCAGCTGGTTTTCACAATGATCCCTTTGAAGCAAGATGAATAGACTCTCAGGGACATTGAGTTTGAGGGAGAAAAGGGCTTAGTCTTGAGGAGCAGCCATAGTTGACAGGCTAATAGAGCATCCCTTGTCAGTCACCTATTCCACAGCCATTCTCCCTTCATCCTTGATACCCTGAGACTGACCGCATTTGGGAGGCATCATGCCTACCACCAAGGGACACGTCACAACTAGTCCATGTCACTTTTGGTGATTCTTTTCTCTTTACCATTAAATGGCTTGGGGTAAAGGGAGGATAAGATCTACTTCTGACCAAAGTGATTTAAATAAGAGATTTCTGAGAAACGCTTTTTCCCTGAATAAAGGAGCAGGAAGGTCCTTTTGCCTCAGCCTTCTTCCTTCTTAAGGCTGGGTAGCTGTTTTATGACTAGAAAAACAAGACATTGCTAGCAGACAGGCCTTGCACAGCAGAGAACGCAAAGACCCTAGATCTTTGATTTCCATTTGACTCACCTGACAAGCCCTGAGACTGCCAAACTCTGGATTTCTCATTAAATTATCAATTACAACCCTGTAAGTTATGCTACCATCACTTGGTTATTCCACTGTTTACAAATGAAAGCAATATAAATGTACCCACAACACTAAAGGAAGAACAGGAGAAATTAAAAGCAAGAGACTCAGGTTTGCTGCAAATGTGAGAACAAAAATTAGATATCATCATGGAATCCAAATTGAGAGATTTGTAGTGAACAGCAAGGACAAGGAAGAAAGAATGGTACTTGCATGATGATAAAGAGGCTTACTGGAACTTTGAGAGAAACATTTTGGTAAAGTAATGGGTTAGATGGCAGACTACATGGAATTTCATGTGAAATGAATGAAGAGAATGTGAAAACATCAGGTAAAGGGACCAGCAGATGGCTTTAATGGTTGCATTATTGGACTCCCAGGTAGTCAACCATGGTTCGAGTCCCAGACCCAATGGCTTAAAATCCACAACAAGTGTATGTGCATGCGTGACCAACATCCTGAGAGGAGGAGAAGGAATTGTGGTGTGGCCATCCTTCCTGGGAGCTGATTTCTCATTTTTTGTCTCTCTTTCTCAAGGTGATTTCTCGTTTTTTGTCTCTCTGTCTCTCTGGCGAGTCTATACACTCTATCGCAAAAATCTCTCAAAAAAAAAAAAAAAACAAGGAAGAAAAGAAAATATCAGGTAGAACTGACTCTAGAATTGTAATCATATTCAGAGAGGGGTCGGGAGTGTTTTCCAGAGGGTTCTAAGACTTCAGAGAAAAATGAAAAATCAGACATAAAAACTGATTGAAATTTAATGTGATGTTACTTAGTTGATTTTAAAATCTCCTTCTCTCTTATCCACAGTTCTCAT